AAACGTAAAATGAGACATTAGAAGTAACTACATTATAACTCAAATCAGAACATTCCGCATACCGTTCAATAATAATCCATTCTAATGTATTGTGATATAACGTATACAGACCAATATAACATATATGTATATAATTTAAAAATAATGCATTTTAATGCATTAAAAACTGATTTACTGGTGAATATTACGATCTCATTTGATTTTAATGCATTATGATGCATTGAGAATTTATTAATTCACGACTATTAGAATATTATTCAATACGAATGCACTAAAATATAACACCATACAGGATATCATAATATCTTTACTAATAATGTATTAAAATATAGCTGATAGAGAAAATTACAACATCTTCCAATAACAATGCATTATAATGCATTAAATGAAAATAATTTAAAATATTGAAGTGAGAATAAATAATAATGCATTTAACATAATCTTTAAACAATATCAGTATAGTATTCAGTAATATTCAACTATAAATGTAATCTATATGAATTGAGTAGTGTAAAATAATGCATTAAAGTGTAGTTTCCCTGAAGAAAAAGAAAGAAGAAAACTTTGATTATTCTTGTTTTATTGACTTGGGACTAATAAAGAAATCATGAATAATAATAATAATATACATGGAAAACAATTTTCGAACAAACAATAAAATTCTTGATAATATTGTGTGAAATTATTATTTATGATTGTATTTTAAATTATAATATGTAACAAGGAAAAAGATCAATTCATGAAAACTGATTTTGTTTAAATTTCTTTCGTTCTATAGAAATATGGATACATTATGATATAGTTTCCAATTATTATCTCTATTGCTCAATCTAGCAGAATACTTTTCAAATAATTATTGTAAATGAAAATAATTTAGGTGAAAAGACTAGATACGAAAAAATGAAGTCCTATTTCATTCTAATAAAACCAACTCGATAAAACATAACAATATTTCTTTTAAGCGTCTATTGAAATCATAAGTGAAAATAATGCATTATAATGCATTAAAAATGTGATCGATATTGAATGTTAATTTATTGAAATATAAAATGTTAAATATAATTGCATACAATAGAAAGAATCATACTCAATAGTAATATATTAAAATGTATTTGTACGAATAAAATTCCTGAGACAGCACTGTTTCGATGAATTTTTGTTCATAGTTTCTTCATTGAGATGAAACCATTAGAATACATAATAGTTTTTATTGATGATGAGACTATCAATCAGCTTTTCTTTGATTAATTATGTCCTATTTTGGTCGTTAATGAATAGACTAAATTGATAGAATATATAAAGACTGCTCTATCATACTATTCTATTTCATAAGTTTACTCGCTTGACAAAAAATAATTCGAAAGGCCTCGCGTGAAATATTAAAATTTTTTTATATATCATTAATATTTATCTTTTTTTCTTTCTTCCTTCTTGAATAATACTTATCATTATTTTTCTTTCTTTTTTCTTCTTTATCTTATGTTTTGTTTGTCTTCAATTTTTTTCTCTATCAATAATCAATATTAAATAAAAAAATAATAAAAAAAATTCAAAAAATTATATATTTATTTATCTTTGATACAAATTCAATTGAACATATATTTATGTTGACTTGTCAAACTTCCAAGAATTGATTATATATATTTTTGTCGAACCATAACCATTTCTCTAATACGTTCGCTCAAAGAGTCAACATTAATATGCAATTTAATGATCAAACTACTCATCATTATTATCCTATTCATATGTCTTCAACTCGTCCACTACCTCTATTAATACCCACATCATATATTCATTTACGCTCTCATGTTAATCAAAAACCTATGCTATATGGTACTGCACAACGAAAACATTCACATCCTTATCGAAAATTTCAATCAGGTACAACAACATTTTCTGGATATACAAATATATCTAATTATAAGAAAAATAATTATTTTTGAAAAAAATCAACAACATACTAATAATAATAATAATAATAACAATAATGTTCCTAATAATATTAATTCTCTTCATTCTTCTTCTATACCTTCTCTTATGTCTGTCGATTGTTTTCAACAACCGCCAAGAAGAAATCGTCGAAGTTTTCAGCATGCTGAACAATATCGTAATCAAGCACCAATAATAATTAATAAATATGAAAATAATAGATATAGAAGTTCATCAAGATCAAATAAATTCACTGGTATTGTCTTATCTGATTCTATGTGTAAATATGTACGAGCCGATAAGGTAAGTTCACAAGGTATTCAAGTAAGAATATCTTTTGAATCTGGATGCGATTGTACTCGCATGCTAAATTATTTAGAACAACAAAGTATAGAAAAAAATTTTATATTGCAATCAAATTCTATTCTTTTTTCTTTATGTATAAATGATGTTGCCAATCTTGGTCCTAATCTTGCTATAGAACATTGTCGATTATTAATTCAACGTACTCGACAACTATTTCCTCGATTAAAATCCATCGGATGGCTAGCATTATCACCACGACACAAACCATCCAAATTATATAACTCATCTGAAATCGATAAAAAGAACAAAGAATTCAACCAACTGCTAAAAAATTTATCGAATGAAATGAATTTTCAAATTATAAATGCAAATCTTCAAAAACAACACATGCACGAAGATGGTTTTCATCCACCTATACAATCAGGACGTATACTTATTGAATGTGCAATAAAAAATTGGTTTTCGAAACAAAAAGATACTTTTTCATCGTCTAATTTAGATAACTTTGATAGACGCAATAATTTAGCACAGAACAATTTTAATCATCGTAACCACAACAATCAACAGAAGCAACAACAGCATCGATATCGATATCAATATAAGCAAAACCAGCAACAGCAGCAATATTATCATAAACAACCATATCAACAATATCAACAACAACAGCAACAGAATTATCCAATTGATATTAATAATAAAAACGTTTATCAACCATTATCATTATCAAAAAAACGAAAACAACAACAACAACAACAACAGCAAAAATTTCCACAAGAAACACAATACCAATCGAGTAAAGTATTAATCAATCATTACCCACATTTTATAAGACATAAAGAAGAATTCTTTCGAAAAGTTTTAATTTCAATAGAATTAGAAAATTATAAAGAAAAAATATTTCAATTGAGTAATATGCATTATCAAACAGAATATTTTAAGTTAGAAGGAAAAAATGGAAAATTTATAAAATATCAGCAATGAACAAGGATAATAATAGTAAAAGTAATAAAGGTCATGAAGAACTAATGGAAACAATTATAATAGATGACAATAATAATAATAATAGTATACCAATAAGTAGACCATCACTAAATGGATTAGCAGGTCCACCTGCTCCATTAGATTTCAGTGAATATTCTGAACTTTTCGATGATTGGTTACCTGAACCGATACCAGGACAAAAACGAAAGCTCGGACATCGACGAGATGATCCACCAACACCACCATCTCCAAGACAGCCACCACCAATAATCCCAAGAAAAACTTTACCACCTAGAGATGTAAATATTCCATTAACTGGAGGATCCGTTCATGGATCACCATTTTCCAACGATAGAAAACATCAAGAAAACGAGCAACGTTCATTTAATGTATTATTACCATTAGAAAAACAAGAGTCAAATAACGAAGAACGGCAAACAACTATTGCCAACATAGCAAGAGAATCTTCAATGATTATATCACCTATAAAAAGTTCAACGCCAGAAATAAAAGAAAGGTCTCCTTCATTTATACCAAAAAATGGTATAAGGGCAACAACAACAACAACAACAATACATACATCATTTGAATGTAAAATCATTCCTATCGAGTGTCGTTATTTTTTCAAAAAATTAAAACAAAAATATACATTTGAAAATATTGAAGCTCATCAAAAATTTCTTGAGAAACAATATAGATCATTAGAGGATGAAAGAGAGAGTAAGTTAAAATTATTCTTTCCCCGAAGAAAAACAAGCTCAAGTAATTTCTCTCGTAAAAAATATCGTCGAGAAAGCTCTTGAGAGAAAACAATTGGATGATCAGAAAAGAATTGATAATCTCATCTTAGATCACAAACGTGAAAAAGCATTGCAAATAATTAGAAACATTGGACATGAATCAGTACAGCAATACATAGAAAATCTAAAAGAAAAATTTCAGAGAACATTAGATCTTAAATTACAACTCGATAAATTAGAAAAAAGATTTGTCGAAAACATGCCACCACCATCATTGAATATATTTGATAAATTACAATTATACGCAAAACAACTAAAACCAGATGATAAGAATTTGAGTTCTCTTAGAGAACAATGGAAGAATGTACTTCGAAAAACGAAACTAGAATTAACCACATTGATGAGACAAGCTAAAATTATTGAATTAGAGCAGATTAATAAGGAATAAGATGCACTAAAGAAAGATCTACCAGAATATCTTGGTGAATCATATGATACAATATGTCATGTAATAAGAACACGACATAATCAATTCGCCAAACGAAAGCTGAATTTTTTACCAAAAAGAGCATGCGTAATCAACGAAAATTAACGCATGCCCTCTCTCGTTATCATCGTGAACATCCTAAGGGAAAACTTCATCCACATTTCACTCGTTTAAGTTTCCCACCTCAGACAAATAATAAATCATATATATTAAAAGATACAGAAGCTCAAGTACTAAATCTAGGACCAAAATTTGTCCCACCAGCACCTGAACAAGTTCTAGAATGTCTTCCAAAAGAAATAGAGACCATGAAAGAAAAAGTATCAGAAGCATGGAGAAAAGCAACAAAGACAATAAGAAGAGAACCACCGATAGTAAAAAAGTTTTGCGAACGAATTGAAAATGAAATAAGAAAGACCGTAGAGACAGAAAGACCAGTAAATCCTATTTTAAAATCAACAGTAACATTATTTCAAAAACTCCAAAAACAAAAGAAAGTAATATTTAGACAAACAGACAAATCAAAAGTCTTCCATATAGATAACCCAGAAAACTATATAGAAAAATCAACAGCATATATGTCAAGAACGAATGCATATGTAGAGATATCTGCATCACCACTTAGAGAAACGATTGAAAAAACAGATAAATTCCTACGAAATTTAGTTACAAAGAAAAAAATGCCACAATATATGTTAAATAGACTACGACCATCATTAACAGAATCAGAACTACCTCATTTATATTATAACCCAAAGGACCATAAAATTGGTGAACCACTCAGACCTATAGTTAGCGGAATGAAATCTCCTTTATCAAAAATATCAAGTTTTCTGGATCGACTTATTCGACCCCTCTTTGATAAACATACCCCATACGCACTATCCAACTCAATGATGTTTCTAAAACATCTGAACCAATATAAAACAACATCAGAAACAAATCTATATACATTTGATATAACAGATTTGTACACGATGATACCTCAGAGAGAAGCAGTACTAACCATAAGCGAATTCCTAGGCAGACATGGGTACAAAAAAATACAAGGACTAGCAATCAACACAATAAAAGAAATGTTTATGCATATATTAGAGAACTCATATTTTGTTTTGCAATTGCCAGGACAAAAACCAAAATTTTATCGACAGGTAAAAGGAGGAGCGATGGGTTCAGCATGTACGCAAGTACTTGCCGACATATATGTACGAAAATGGGAGAGCGAATTCGTACAACAACAAGAACAACAAGGGGAATTGTATCTACGTTTTAGAGATGATGTATTCTTAACTACAAGATTACCACAAGAACAAGTAGAACAAATTTTATCAGAAATGAATAAGAAAGACCCTAATATAACCATTACATGGGAAGGAGGAAAAACAGTGGACTACTTAGATGTAACGACTACAATAGAGATCCAGAGCTTTAGAACAAAAGTGTTCCGGAAACTTGCAGCGCAACCATATGTACTCCCATTTTGCTCATCTCATCCAATACACATCAAAAGGAACATACCGTATGCAGCAGCTGTAAGAGCCACACGTATATGTTCACATCCGGAAGATCTGCGAGATGAATTAGAAAAAATTAGAATCACATTACTCCTGAACAAATATCCACCTAGATTTATCGATAGACATATGGAGCGATTCTTTCAAGATATAACTGAACAGCGAACTCCAGAATTACTATTAGGAGAGAAGCATCCCATCTATAGGAGACAGATGTTAGAACCGGAATGGAACAAAAAAGAAAAAAGAAAGATAGAATTTGGCAGGGACATCCTACTTCATTTCACATACACACCATCATTAGCACATTTCGGCGCTCGTTTTCATCAAATATGGCAAGAGATATTCGAAGATACACCTCTAGACGATATACCAGTGATGTATGCTAACAGGGTGTCAGATAGTCTAAGACACCTCCTAGTAAAGAAACGACCTAGCAAAGAAGCCATCAAACTATTACCATAATCAATAAATAAAAACAGAGAATAAAATAAAAAATAAAAAATAAACACCTCTATCCAAAAGAACTAAAAAAAGTAAAATAAAAATAAATAAGACAGAACTATTGAGGAAGAAGGGACAAACAACAGGAAAAAAAGAAAAAATGAAAAATAAAAGACAAAAATAAAAAACAAGATAAAATAAAAATATCAATAAAAAACGAAAAACGATAACTAAAATGTAATAACACCATCTTCCTTCCTCAACCAATTGTAACCATCTATTGTTTAATCATATCAACTAACTTACTACCTCATTGTCTCTGATCATTTCATATTTTCTTATTTTTTATAATCTAATTTATTTTTCTACTGTCTATTGAAAAAAACTTTTTCATTTATACTTCTTATTTTTTCTTACTTTTTTCTTCCTATATCTTAATTCTATTTTCTACTATCAATTATAAAAATATTGTCTAATTATCCTTCCCACTTAATGTAAAATATATTTCTATTCGTCTAGCCTAATTTGTTTTATACTGATTATTGTAAAAATACTTTCTATCTACACTTCTTATTTCTCTTTCTCTATCCTAGTTTATTTTCTACTATCAATTGTAAAAATATTTTCTATTTATCCTTCTCACCTAATGTAAAATATATTTCTATTCGGATATCCATTCTCATAACATTTATTGTAAACATTATTGTAGAAATGTTTCCTATATACATCCATCCTCAAAATATGTTTCCATAATAATGTTTATAACCAATCGCTCTTCTTATATTCATCCTGTCGATTGTAAAAATGTCTCTTTTCGTATCCATGCCCACCTTTATTGTAAAAAATACCTATTCCTCCAGTCAAGATACTGATTCATGAATCTCATCCGCACCACACCAAAACAAAAAACGAATTATTAGAATAAAAAATTATAAAACTCGAAATGCATTAAAATAAAAAATCATAAAAATCAAAATGTGTTATAATGAATTACTAAAAAATTGTCAAAACAGTCCAACAGAGATAAAAATAAATTACAATAAATTATAATACATGTAGATCGTTAAAAATTACAAAATCTATCAAAACAACCCACCACAAACAAAAATGCATTATAATGCATTATAATAAATGATTAACGATTAAATATTAAAATTAACCAAGACAACCCATCACTAACAAAAAAGGAAAAATACATTATAATGAATTAAAGCAGATTATTAAACACTAAAAAACTCGTCAAAACAATCAACTGCAAATAAAAATGCATTATAATGAATTATAACAGATTAATAAAAATTAATAAAAACAACTCAATGCAATTAGAGATGCAATTTAATACATTAAAGAAGATCATTAAAAAAGAGATTGTTGCAAATAAAATCCCTGGAAATAAAAAATTTCTTGAAATGCATCATTGGACTTTATAGAAAACCCATAATGAAAGAAAAAATTATAATGAAGAATAACCTGACAACCAAAAATGCAGTACATGCAAGATATCCATAACATCGCTTGACAAAGAATGATTCGAAAGGCCTCGCGTTATCCTCATACTCTATTTAATTATTTATTTTTCTCTTTGTCTTTTCTCTTTTTCTCATATTTTTTTTTCTTATTATCTTTATTTTTCTCTTTTCTTAAAAATAATAAAATTAGTTTACAAAAAAAAAATTAAAAAACAAATTGTATTAATATTTATCATATTTATTGTTATTTTCTTCTTTATTATACATTAACAAAACAAGTTTCTTATTTATACATATACATTTAGTATCGCTATGTAAGTAATTAAACCGAATATACTAACAATGATTAACGATTGGTTATGTTTTCATCTCATTTTGTACGGTTTTTAATGATATAAAGAACGAAAAGACATTTCGATCACTGTCGAATTCATCAGAAATGTAGATCTTTCATCCTTTGATAACGTGTATTACTTAGAAATTCTTCTCTGAAAAAAAAGATCTTACAAAAGTAAGATATATCCTTATAACTGACCTAAAAATTTTACAAAGATCAATAAATTCTGTATTAACTAAATCTTTTAATTCACAAGTAACGTTCGTCGGCTCGACTCACTTGACCCTCGACTGTTTACGACAGAAGTATACTGCACATGTGAGTATCAAAAGAATAGATCTACTAGTCTCGTCACAATAACTGACTCAAACTTAGATTTCTCGAATCGTTAAAATCGAAGAAACTGATCGGGCTCTTTGATAACTAGCCTTGTCCG